CATCGCACTCATCACGCGCCGCCCAAGAACGGTTACAAAATGAGGTTCCTCGCTTCATTTCCAGCCCACAAAGGCCACAAAAATCTCCGGATACCAATCCGTTGGACTAATGTGTCTGGAGTATTTTGGAAAGAAAGGTTAGCACTAAACTAAATACCAAAGTGTCGATCACCTCAAGTAAGCTCTTCGTCGGGTATGTGCCAAAATACCGCAGCGCATCATTCAGGCAGCGTGTGACGGTTTCATTGGCCGTTTGAAGGCCATAATTCGTACCAAAGGTAACCAATTCGAACAAATCTAAACTTTTTCTAAAATTTAATACAATTTCCGACATTTTTGATTTCATTCAATAAAATTAAAAAAAGTAAAAATTATGGCGGTTGACTTTGTGGCAGTTTTTTATCTCCCCCTGTCCACGGTCCACGTTTTTGTATAGCCCCCATATAACGGTACCTCCCGATATTCGGTATTTTGATCATTTGTGCCACATTTTTCCACGGATTAGTCTTTGGTATTTGTTGTTCATAATCGGTTCCAGCTCCGGCAGCATAACATTGAAAATTTAAGTCCACGTTTTCCTATAGCGCAGGTATAAGGATACCCACCGATATTCGGTATTTTGATAATTCAAGTCACACGTTTCAAAATTGGAATTTAAGAAGATTTGGTAGATGGTAATCCTTGAAGTATAAAATTTTCTATAGAGGTTCCGGTTTTGGTATGGCCACCATGCAACGGCCTCACCCACTTTATGGTTTTTTGAAAAGTTAAACAGCCAAACTATCTTACTGGTGCTGTTTATACCCTCCACCGTAGTATGGGGGTATATTAAGTTTGTAACATCTCGAAATGAGGCATATCTTTCAACAGATTTTTTTAGATTACCCTTGAATAACAATTTTAATGTCCATCCGCCATCCGCCACAAAAGCTTCCATTCGAATTCAAGATCCTAGCTGCAATATGCAGCTACAACATTCTATATATAACTTCAACCATTTAAATTTGAACACGTTCTATAGTTGCAAATTGTAGTATTCGTATAGTCCCGTACCCTCGAAAGAAAAAAAAGTCATGCACATGTTTATGTCGTACATGTCTCCTATTTTTACTTCAATATAAAAACAAACTTTTTCTTAGAAATTTTTAAATTCTAAACATTAACAAGTAATCAAAGGCTACAGTCGAGCAGGGCCGACCGTTGAATACCCTAAAACACTATAATAAACTATACAGTTTATATAGGCAAGATACTCGAAAGAATTCCACAAGATATTGTGACAAATAATAAAAGAAAACCATCAGGTTTCGTTCTCTTATTTTCGAATAATAGCAACTTAAACTAGTTTGCTCATTTCCAATTTATTGGTAGATGTTGCACTTAAATGGTCTTCCTAGATCTGGAAGCAATATTTCCCAAAGACCCATAATCTCTCAGAAGTGGCAAAAGATTAACATTTAATATTGGTTTTTGAATGAAACGCATCTACATGAGATACAGTCATTTGACTATATTCTTCAACGAAATCAGCGTTAACGAAATAGTCAGAAGTGCGTCTTTCCTGTATTTGTGAATTCTCCAAAAAGTCACTGGAATGGATATTTTGGTATTTTGTCTACAAAAGTTGGCAAACTCCTTCACACATTGAATATTTTTGGATGGCCATCCAAACCTGCTTGCCTTTTGCAATGTCCGGTAATCCCCATTCAAATGTGCGTGAGGGTCGGGCGATAATTACGACCTGCTGACAATTTTGCAGTTTTTTGGTTCATTTCAACCCCTAAACATTTGGCGATCATCTACAAAAGAAATAGGCTTCTATTCTGACCCTAGCCCCACCTCCATTCTAAATTTCGTGAAGATCGGGTCATAATTGCGACCTGTAGAGTGATTACAAATTAACATGGACAGACGGACGGACGGACATACATAGCTAGATCGACTCAGCTCGGCGAGATAGGAAGATCCATATATACTTTCATATGTGGGAAATCAATATTTCGTGGTGTTACATAATTTTTGGCCCAATCAAACTTATAATACCCCCACACATAGTGTTGTAGGGTATAAAAATCTATTTGCTATGCAAAAAAAAAATTAACGAATCTAATTTTTAAAACATGTTACCGACAAAGCATTGCCACTTCCGTGTGATAGGCTTGAAATCAATTTATAAACCCCAAACTATTATTCCAGCCGAGTTCTGTATAAAAACTCAATCGCTTACAGATCCAAGTAACAGTTTTTCGTTAAAAGCGTCTCAAAATGTTTTCGAAAAAAGTCTTGGCAATTTTCATTATCTCAGGTGAAACAGTGCGAATTACCGATATTTCTAAAAAGTAATTTTGAGTTTTTCTTTCCCAAATCACTTTCAGCTGCCCTCCTTGGCATTGCCACCATCAAAGCTCAGGAGAACACTCTAGTTCAGAATTTGGAAACGGCTGTCGTTGACATAACCAAAATACTTGGAGATGTTGGTCGGATTCTAATCAATCCTGCTGTACTTCTCAATGGACAATTGGGTGAAAATGTTGCCGAGCTGGTGGATCACATTTCGGAACTTGTGGCAGATTTGCTGAAAACCGTGGCTGATCTGCTTATTGCCTTGGGTTTAGCCACCAACTAATGGCATTTAAAGGTTATTAGATAACGATTATACACCAGAAAATTAACTGCAGCGGAATAAAGAAAATGTTTTACTGATGGTTACTTTCTATTGTGATTATTTCTCATAAAAGTGCAGGTGGTATTCATGATGACGTCACTAATGAATAGTGATATATATTTGTGCACAGTTATAGAAAATCAATGATGCCACTAAGACCACATCGCCCTTTAATTGAAGTCTATAATATACTCTCAAGGAACTAAGACATAAGGCCTTCTTATAGTATACCTGGGATTCTTCACGCATAGTTTTTCTTAAAAGCTGCAAGCTAACCTATAGAAGATCAGATAAATGGTATCAGAACCACAAGATATGGTCTTATCATAAAAGCCCACCGGGTATTGTCAAAGTAAAGCGTAAGATCTTTTCACGAGGTCTTCTTATAGTTGATCACTAGGCGTCCCCATAGAAGAGCACGCGGTCTTCTCTAGAAAACCATTAGGTTTCCTCATACAAGATCACCAGGTTCTTTCCATAGAAGATTACAACATTTTCTCATAGAAGACTAAAAGTTTTTATCATAGAAGACTACCAGAAGAGCTAGTGGTCTTCTCATAGAACAACACCAGATTTTCTCATAGAAGACCACCAGGTCTTCCCAAATACAAGACAAACGACAAGATCTTCTCTTAGAGGACCACTACATATTTTCATAGAAGACTACAAGGTCTTCTCATAGAAGACTACAAGGTCTTCTCATAGAAGACTACCAGGTCTTCCCATAGAAGACCACCAGGTCGTCTTATAGAAAATCAAAAGACTTTCTCGTAGAAGAGCAAAAGGGGTTCTCACAGGAAACCAGAAGGCCTTCCCACAGAAGAGCAAAAAGCCTTCGCATAGAAAAGCAAAATATCTTTTTATAGAAGACCAGAAGGTCTTATCAAAGAAAACCACAGGGTCCTTTCATAGAAGAGCAAAAGGTCTTCTCACTGGAAGAGCAGAAGGTCTTCTCACTGGCAGAGCAGAAGGTCTTCCCATAGAAGAGCAAAAGCCCTTCGCGCTGGAAGAGCAATAGGTCTTCTCATAGAAGAGCAGAAAGTCTTCTTATAAAAGAATGCAAGGTCTTCTCGAAGAAGAGTCTTCTCACTAGAAGAGTGGAAGGTCTTCTCATAGAAGAGTGGAAGGTCTTCTCATAAAAGTGTGCTAGGTCTTCTCACTGGCAGAGCAGAAGGTCTTCCCATAGAAGAGCAAAATCCCTTCTCGCTGGAAGAGCAATAGGTCTTCTCATAAAGAGCAGAAAGTCTTCTCATAAAAGAATGGAAAATCTTCTCACTAGAAGAGTGGAAGGTCTTCTCACTAGAAGAGTCGTAGATCTTCTTACTAGAAGTGTGGAAGGTCTTCTCACTAGAAGAGTGGAAGGTCTTCTCACTAGAAGAGTGGAATGTCGTTTTATAGAAGATCACCAGGTCTTCTCACGGAAGTCCACCAGGTCTACTCATGGAAGACGACAAGATCTTCTTCCTTAGAAGTATCACAGGATCTAGACCCCAGAAAGTATATATATTCTTGATCTCACAAAAGTCTATGTCGATTTAGCGATGCCCGTCCGTCAGTGGAAATCACTCTACCTTCCGAACGAAATGAAGTAGGTTGATAAAATTCTACTCAAATGTGAAATATGTCTGCAGGACTTTTGGTATTGAAAATGGGTGATGTAGGTACACGTTTTGGTATAGCCACCATATAATGGTACCTCCAGATATTCGACATTTTGATGATTTTTGTGATATTATTCACCGGATTCAAATTTCGTATTTGAAATTCGTAACGGATGCTACAGCCTATGACAGAAAATTGTTTGTGCAGGTCCACGTCTTCCTATAGCCCCCATATAACGGTACCTCCCGATATTCGGAATTTTGATGATTATTATTCACCGGAATTGTTTCCAATTTGGTATTTGAAGTTAGTAGTGGATGCTACAGCCTATGACGGAAAATTGTCTGTGCAAGTCCCCGTCTTCATATAGCCCCCATATAACGGTACCTCCCGATATTCGGTACTTTGATAATTTTAGCTACATTATTCACCGATTTTTTTATTCATGTTTCGCATTTGAACACTGTAATGGTTTATGACAAAAGTTGCCTATGCAGGTCCACGTCGTCATATGGACCCTAATTAACGGCTGCATTCGGTATTTTTAAGATTTTAATAGAATTTTTAACGGATTTTTTCCCATAGAAGAGGAAAAGGTCTTCTCAAAGATCGGCTCGGCCGAACTTACACCTTTTTTTACTTGTTAAAATCTAAATTCTATATTATACATTTTGAATTATTTTTCTTTTTTTATTAAAAAAATATATTTTGTATACATTTCATAAATTTTTACACATATTTTTACACACAAATAAAAATTATTTTTATATATATTTTATTTTATAACTATACACATAAACGTTTACGCAACTTAAATAGTTTATAAATTAATAACAGTCAAGGGCATAACACTTGCATATCCTATTACGAATTTGTTACATTTGTCACTTGTCACATTTAAATTAACTTACATCGTAAATGTAAATCAGCAAGAAAGACGGCAGTTACACACAGACAGACAGATAGCTAGCTAGCTAATCTTCAAAAGAAGACTGCGAAGAGAAGAGGAAGTATACTCAGAACTTAAATCTAATTGTTTAAAAATTTGTCTCAATATAACACACAAGCAATCATTGCGATGATAAGTCCCCGATATACATATGGTAGAATATGAAGAAGCAGCAGCAGAAGAGGAGATACTAGAATTGATGCATTGAGTTGTGATAGTCCGGCCGATTGTATCGATGGTTGGGTGTTCTACTCGAGAATTGGGAAATAGTATCATCACCCGGTGGGGCAACCAACAGAATTGGTTGTAGATTGAGATTCTTCCTTGAACCCGCTAAACTAACGCCATCTGTGATGTAACTGTTGTTGATTTCACCTGTTGGGGGTAAAAGGGAAGTGTTTTAATTTAATACATAATCAAATTAGTGGAAATTTTTTAATTACCCTTAAACAGAGAATTTTGATACATTGGATCTGGTTGCAGGCGCACATGTCTGGTGGCCAATATAAAAGCTAATGTTGCCAGCACCACACCATCAATGCAACCAATAATGGCCAGAGGATAGGCCCATCGGATGCCACACAGTCCAAGTTCAAATCGATTGGCATCGGGTCCGCATACCTTGCGGAAATCATCGGAATTCCAACCGAAGGGAAAAGCACCACAGGCAACAATCATGCACAAAGCTGCAAATTAAAAAAAACATTTAATTGTTAAATATATTAATTTTTTTTTCAATAAATAAAACGAATGAAAATTTCTATACCATCTAAAGTTCTACGGGAAGGTCCATAAGGACTTCTCATAAAAGACCAAAAAATATTCTCATAGAAGCTCAACAGGTCTTTTCATAGAAGAGCACGAGGTCTTCTCACTAGAAGAGCAAAAGGTCTTCTCACTAGAAGAGCAGAAGGTCTTCTCACTAGAAGAGCAGAAGGTCTTCTCACTAGAAGAACAGAAGGTCTTCTCGTAGAAGAGAAGAAGGTCTTCTCACAGAAGACGAGAAAGTCTTTTCACAGAAGACGAGAAGGTCTTCTCATAGAAGACGAGATGGTCTTCTCTTAAAAGACGAGAAGGTCTTCTCACAGAAGATGAGAGGGTCTTCTCACTAGAAGAGCAGAAGGTCTTCTCACGAGAAGAGCAGAAGGTCTTCTCACGAGAAGAGCAGAAGGTCTTCTCACGAGAAGAGCAGAAGGTCTTCTCACGAGAAGAGCAGAAGGTCTTCTCACGAGAAGAGCAGAAGGTCTTCTCACTAGAAGAGCAGAAGAAGGTCTTCTCACTAGAAGAGCAGAAGAAGGTCTTCTCACTAGGAGAGCAGAAGAAGGTCTTCTCACTAGAAGAGCAGAAGAAGGTCTTCTCGTAGAAGAGCAGAAGGTATTATCGTAGAAGACCAGAAGGTCTTCTCATGGAAGACCAGAAGGTCTTCTGGTTGAAGATCAGAAGAATGTCTTCTCGTGGAAGACCAGAAGGTCTTCTGGTAGAAGATCAGAAGAAGGTCTTCTGGTAGAAGATCAGAAGAAGGTCTTCTCGTAGAAGAGCAGAAGGTTTTCCCGTGGAGCAGAAGGTTTTCGTGTTGAATCTCAAAAGATCTTCTCAGAAAAGAGTAGAAGACCTCTTCACGAAGAGTTGAAGATTATCTCCGAGAGAATGGAAGATCTTCTCAGAGAAAAGTAGAAGATATTTTCCGGGAGAAATAGAATATAGTATCGTAAAAGATTAGGAGATTTTCTCGGAAAATGTTAGGAGATCTTCTTATATTAGGAGATCAGAACTTATCGTAGAAGATCTACTCTGAGTAGATTAGAATATTTTCTGTGAGCAGAGTAGAAGATTTGTTCAAAGAAAAATGAAGACGAGAATGTATTCTCATAGGTGACTGGAATTACCAAAGGTCCAAAAAGTCTTCTTATACAAAACTGAAGTCCATTGAAGATGAAAGTAATCTCATGCTATTGATCTTCTCAGAGAAGAGTGGTATACTGCTCTGGAAAGAGTAGATCATCTCTGAGAAAAAATGGAAGATATTCACAGGGAGCAAAATAGAGAAAAGAGAAAATAGAGAGAATTTACTTATCGTAGTAAATTAGTAGATTTTTGTCTCAGAACGCTAAAAAATATTCCCTGCAGACCCCTTTTCAGAAGGGTTTCTTTTAAAAGCTAATACAGCACAACATGCTTATTGCTCCATTTGACATATTTTCAAGTTTTACAATATCAACAAGCTTTCTTGTTAATTATTTACAATGACATGTTTCGCCAAAATTCTGTGGAAACGCCAAGTAAGTGACCATAATGTAAAAAAGCAGCAAAATTGCTACAATCAGCAAATGTTGATTCTTTTGCCAACAACAAAAATGCTGAAGTCAAAAGTTAATGTCATTTTGTAACCCAATTTAATGACCCTATTTTTTCAGGTCTTCTTCATATCTACCTAATTTTCACTTCCGTCATAAAAACACAGTAGCTCCAATAAATATGGGTCTTGTGGTTACAAAGAAACAGAAGTCTAAGTCACAATTAATTCAATCAATCAATTGAAATGGATCTATGCAAAACAAAATACATTCACAATTTTGATTTTCAATATTATTCCAGCAAGTAACGGTACAAACTGTCTGCATCAACACACATACACACACTCACACCCAACATACCTGATATGATTTGCAACCAACCGCAAATGTGAAAGACTCGTGTCGATTTCATGAAAATTACAAATATTAGGAAACATATCGTCAATAAGGCCAGAGCAACGGCAGCAGCCATAAATAGGGTGGCCAACTGGAAAAACGGTGAAAAGACGAAATTGAATTTATTTAGCAATCGATAAATGTGGGTGTAAAACACGAAGAGGACTTACTTGAAATGAAAATGTTGGCACTTGTAGAATATTCTCCCACTTTCGTTTGCAGTTATCGAAGATCTCGTCTTTTTGACACATCTGCCACAGACCTATGCGACCGGCACTCTCATTGTCGGGGTCACCAATCCATTCTGAAAGAATAAAACAATGATTAGAAAATGTTTTAAAATGTCCAATACTAAGGGACTATTAATACATTTATGTGAATGGACATAAGTCGGACAGGCCGACACTGTTGAACTAAAACGAAATTTTACTTTCTGCACAAATTCGAAAAGAACGTCAGACGAACGGACTGACATCGCTAGATCGACTCCAAATCTCCCTAAAACGAATTTGGTTCAAAGAGATCTAGGGTCTAAAACCGTTATTTCGATGAGGCACGTTTTGACCGTATCAAATGACATATACCCTCTCTAGCCAAATGGCTGAGGGTATAAAAAATAAATTTTCGCCACCAGCATATCTACATCTCAGAAACCAACAGTGACCTCAATTTTAAATATCAGAATTCTATATATTTCTCAACACCAAACGGCGCATTTTGTCGCATTTTGCACTTCTCTTATGTTTATAGTACACATTTCCGAAACCACCTCCAAATCACAAACTCACAACCTCAACAGGACATCTATAGCAAATTTCAGAATTTCAACTCTATCAATTTACCTAATACCAAATTTAGTACTATTCAGTACTTTTCGTACAATTATAGTGCACATTTTCAAAACCACCTCCATATCTCAAATCAGATACCAACAACGACCCCTTCACCCAATACTCAATTTAGTACCATTTAGCACTTTTCGTACAAATATAGTACACATTTCCGAAACAACCTTCTAATCAGCCTCAGATAAAAACAATAACATCTATATCGAATTTCAGGATTTGAACTCTATCCCTTTACCCAATATCCAATTTAGTACCCCTTAGTACTTTTTGTACAATTATAGTACACATTTGCAAAACCACCTCCCAGATACCAGCAGAAACCTCAATATTAAATTTGAGGATACCAGCCATATTCCTTCACCCAAATTGAATACCATTTGATACTAATCATACAAATATTGGACACATTTCCAAACCACCGCCAAATGTCTATTCCATATACCAAGGTAGACCTCAATTTCAAATTTCGGGATTCCAACTTCATCCAATACCCAATTTGGTACACCTTAATACCTTTCGGACAATTATAGTACACATTTTCGAAATCATCTCCAAATCTCAAACGCAGATACCATTAATAATAATCTAAGTATAAAATTTCGGGATTTCAGTTTTATTCCTTTACCCAATACCAAGTTTAGTACTTTTCGTACACATATGGTACCCATTTCCAAAACCACCAAAAGATACCAAAACAGACCTCAATATCTAATTCGGGGTTTCCAGCACTATTCCTTATCATAATTTTAAATTCAGTACCACATATTACTCTATGGATAATTACAGGGTGAGATGAAAAAACTGCAACCAACTTCAGACTGCTAATGCACTCTTCCACTCGTGAATAAATCTTTTGTGTCACGTACCATCGCCTGTTACCGTGATACTAGTAGCGTAGCCCCACGTCAAGGAAGTGGACGGACGAAAACAGCAACATCAGCAGAAATGGTTCGAAAAGTAAAGAAGCTACTTGAAACCTGCGTCGCAGTCGCAGGTGTCGAAAAATGACTCGTGAGCTGAAAATATCGCAATATTCCATTCGGCAAATATTGAAAAATGAGCTCGGGGTAAAGCCATTGAAATTCCAAAAAGTGCAAGAACTTACACGAAATGAACATGTTTACTTGCCACAGAGGTCAGCTGAAAATGTGCACCTTCGGTCGGACATCAGAACTCAAGCGCCGGCCATGATGATGGTGTGGGCGGCCATAACAGCCGATGGTCGCTCTCCGCTCGTATTAATCGACCGTGGCATCAGAATAAATGCCGAATATTATCGTGAAAATATTGTGGAGGGCGTATTAAAGCCTTAGGCACGCAAACATTTTGGCCACAGACCTTGGACATTCCAACAGGACTTAGCACCATCGCACGCCCCACCCAAGAATGGTTACAAAATGAGGTTCCTCGCTTCATTTCCAGTGCACAATGGTCACCAAAATCTCCGGATACCAATCCGTTGGACTATTGTATCTGGAGTATTTTGGAAAGCAAGGTTGGCACTAAAAAAATACCAAAGTATCGAACACCTCAAGCAAGCGCTTCGCCGGGAATCGCATAAAATACCGCAAAGCAACATTCGGGCAGCGTGTGGCCGTTTGGAGGCCATAATTCGTGTCAAAGGTGACGAATTGAACAAATTCAAACTTATTCTAAAATTGGATGCAATTTCCGACTTTTTTGCTTTCATTCAATAAAATTAAAAAAATAATGTAAATGACTTTGTTGCAGTTTTTTCACCCTGTATAGTACATATTTCCAAAAACTACCTCTGTTTCTAAATTCTAGAAACCAAAAGAGACCTTAATATTAAATTTGGGGATTCCAGCCCCATCACTTCTCCCAATATTAAATTTAGTAGCATTTAGGACTTTTCATGCATTTTCGAAACCACCTCCATATGGACAGGCTGCATATGAACAACGACCCACCCTAATACCAAATTTCAGATTTCAAACACTATCTGTTCACATAATACCAAATTGTTCCAAATTTAGTACTATTTACCACTTTTCTTGAACTTCTTGTAGTACACATTTCAAAACCACCTCTTTATCACAAACCTACCACCAACAGGGAACCTCTATACAAAATTTCTAAATTCCAGGTTCCTCCGTTCACCTTAAATCAAATTTTGTACCATTTAGTACAGTTCTTACCCTTAGCACACATTTCCAAAACCACCTTCATATATACTTCCCAACTTTGATTCTCATACCAAATTTCAAGTTTTAGCTCCATCCATCCACATAATACCAAATAATACTATTTTGGAAGTACAATTTTTAAATTTTTCGTAACCTTTCAGTTCGAATTTCCAAAAATCTTTTGGTACATCTCATTCCAAATTTAATTTTCCAGCTCATTCCATTTTCCAATACAAGGTATTCAATTTTTGGTACATTTTAGTACTTTTCGTGTCCTTTTGGTGCGAATTTCCTGCCTTCCGAAAAACCCAGTCTTCTTATACGACTACGCACAAAGACTCAAGATTCTTGTTTTAGCCGTTTCGCCAGTGCATTGATTCTCGATCACTCAATCAGTTATATCAACACTCTTTTATTTTATGACAAATACTTTTGTAGAATATTTGGATTTGCTAAGATCTGGTTCAAAAGGAGTTTTTAATGATATTTTGGAAAAAGGTCGAACAATCCACCCATGGTATTATATATCGCTTTAAATTTATAGCTCTACTTTCATCATCTACTGAGTGATACCTGTTTTTATTTTTAGTGTTGCCCAGTGTAACTTATACAATTACCTTCATCATGATTTGTGACATAAATGAATATCACCCCATGGCGAAGAATAGAGAATGACCCAGATAAGAGACACATAATTTCAGAAAAATAGGCATACAACCCCGATTAACGAAAAATGACAAATGATTTCCTTATTGTTTTCTGTTCAAAACCATTTATCAATTTTTCACATTTATATAAGAGTTACGTTGATATTTGAAAATTCTGTTTTCCGCAATAATCAACCAAAAAAAACAGAAGAAAAAAACAACCAGTACGCCAAATAATCCAGAAAACTGTAAAACGTGACACTTTCAAGAAATCGCTAATCATTCTCACAATTCACTCGCTTCCCAATTCACTCGCTTCAACAAAGTATTGAAAAAATTATATTTTTTCTGCGTAGATAATTGAAAAAAGAAAATCACCAACACAACTCCACACACGTACTGTATCGATCATCTACTAAACTAATACAGATAGACTTTTACCTGGTGTCACAAATGCCACAATCCCAATAATGGCATAACATATCGTAAATATGGCCCACAGTACAGCAATGGCTTTGGAGTTCCGGATGTATTTCGTCGCATAGAGATGCGTTGTGTCCACGTACTCGATCTTTGTGCCCATTTTTGGTAATGCTCCACAATTCCAATTAAACTAGAATGAGAAGAAATAAATGAGCACAAATTAAGGTTTTGCTTTTTAAAAAAAAAATGGAGACAGAAAAAAATAATCAAGAAGCTTAAGGTCATTGTTGTTGGCAAATGTTGGTAACCTGTAAGAAGCTTAATTAAGTTAAGAACTTAGAAGTCTCTTAACAATGTCGGCACTAAATACGTATTCAAGTATACAAAGTAAATATTATACAAAATCTTGTACAGAACAAGTAAATAAGTAGCTAAATTCGGTTGGTTCGAACTTTCTATACCCTCCACCATTCGGAAGGTACTTAAAAAAACTTCAACAAAAAAATCCGTCGAAAAATAACGCTCAAATAAAGATCTTTATATGGGGGCTATACGATGACGTGATGCTGGATAAGTAATTTTTTGTCATAGGCTGTAGTAACGATTCCGAACTTCATTGCCGCTAATATCATTAAAATACCGAATAAAGAGAGGTACCGTTGTATGGAGGCTATACTAAGACGTGAACCTGCATGGACAATTTTCCGTCATAGGTTACGAACCCTCAATACAAAATTTGACGCAATTCTGGTGAATAATTTCGCGAAAATCCTGGAAATACCGAATATCTTGGGGTAGCATTATATGGGTGCTATACTAAAATGTAGACCTATATAGACAATTATCTTCCAGAGGGTAAAGTACTCAGAGGGAACTCCGTGTGAAGAATTTCAGACAATTCTATTAAAAATATGACTGTAAATCTTCAAAATACGGCATCATTGTAGGGGGGCTATACGATATCGTGAACCTACATAGACAATTTTCTATCGGAGGATAAAGTGCTCACAGAGAACTCCTTGTATAGAATTTCAGGGAATTCCATTAAAAAATGACTAAAATCAAAATACCGAATATCTCGAGGTACAGTTATATGGGGGATATGCGATATCGTGGACCTAGGCTTAAGTAAAAAAACTGCAACAAAGTCAAACGCCATAATTTTTACATTTTTTTATGTTATTGAATGGAAGCAAAAAATGTCGGAAATAGCATCAAATTTTAAAAAAAGTTTAGATTTGTTCGAATTGGTCACCTTTGGCACGAATTATGGCCTTCAAACGGCCAATGAAACAGTCACACGCTGTGCCAAAATACCGCAGACCATCACACCCTCCAGAATATTTTCGCGATAATATTCGGAATTTATTCTGAGCGGAGAGCGACTATCGGCTGTTCTGGTGGCCAACAGAAGGTGCACATTTTCAGCTGACCTCTTTGTTTGTTTACAAACTGCTGGACAACGAATGTTTTCTCATCGGACAAACCCAGTTCAGCACTTTCGGCCAAGCGAAGCAACTCTTTAGCTCTTTTGAATCTATTTTCTCTCTGTTGTGGTGTAAGTTCTTGCACTTTTTGGAATTTCAATTGCTTTACCCCCAGCTTATTTTTCAATATTTGCCAAATGGAATATTGCGCATATGTTCAGCACACAAGCCATTTTTCGGCCACTGCGACACAGGTTTCGATCTAGTCGCTTTTTTACTTTTCGAACCATTTCTGCTGATGTTGCTGTTTTCTTCCGTCCACTTCCTTGAAGTCGGGCTACGCTACCAGTATCACGGCAACGAGCGATGGTACGGGACACAAAAGATTTATTCTCATTTAAATGCTGGAGTGCTCTAACGATAGCCACTTGTAGTTTTCCAGCCAAATATAAAGAAATCACACTATCACGCTTGAATTCCATCACGAATAACTTTTTTCTGGAAAATTCTCATCAAAATGCTTTTGTACGCTTGTAAACAATATAATGAGCTGTCACTGGAATAATTTTAACAGCGAGTGGCTTGGAAATGACAGCAGTCTGAAGTTGGTTGCAGTTTTTTTCATTTCTCCTTGTATGCACACGAACGAATTCATCCTGGGAGAAAATGTACCAAAGGTAATTAAAGTTCTTCCGACATTCAACATAATCAAAATTTTAGTAATAGCTTTGCTTTTGTGTTTAATATTTCTCTTGATCGATAAATCAATTTTAAATAGATATAATAAACCCTCTTAATCATGAAGAGTTTAATAGGTTGGCTCATATTCATTTAAAACCCACAAAACCTGTTATTCTTCTGGTTGGTCTGCGGACGAATCATTTATGAATTCTCTCTGTTTATTCAAAAGTTGTTAATGACTCATCAACATCGTCTGCTTGAAACTATGTTTAGTATTAAACAAAACACACAAACACACACACAAAACTGAAACTCGTTTAAAATATGATGTTTCTTCGTTTCATATATATAATATATTTAGAAGAAGAAACTTTCGTGTAATATTCAACTCTGTGTGCTAGTGCGCACAAAAACTCTCGAAAGGGAGATTCCGATTTCGTACAAATTTAATACATCGTAGTGTTACGTAATCGATCCACTTCTTCCAAAAGACTGCAGCTTTTCTTGTTCTCTTTAGAATTCTTCGTTTTAGTTCCCTTTTTGTACGATTTTTTAAAATATCACCATACATACCAAAATAGACACATATTTTCGCACACCATCCTCAACTTTAGTTTGATTTTACAACAACCAAACCTTAGTATACCCCTGAAGATTATCAGTGACTTTATAATTTTAAACCCAACAAAGTTCATATATTTTTGATCAAGGTAAAATTCTAAAGCGACTTAGCCCTGTCCGTCCTTCAGTTGTAATCATGCTAGAGTCAAAACAAATAAAGATAGGAAGCTAAAATTTTGCACCGATCTGGCTTTTGTCTGCAGGCAGATCAAGTTTCGTCCTCGCCATCGTATAGCCCCCATATATGATTTTAGCCACATTTTTAATGTAATTGTCTGAAATTTTACACAATGAGCCCCAATATAACGGTACATTCCGATATTTGGCATTTTGATAAGTTTAGCCACACTATTCAGTGGAATTGTCTGGTATTCTAACCAAGAAGATTTTCGTGACTACTTTACGCCCAGAAAAAGAATTGTCATTATAGGTCCACGATATCCCCCATATAACGGTACCTCCCGAATTCGGTATGATTTTTAGCCACATTTTTTAATAGAATTGTCTGAAATTCTATACAAGCGGTTTTTATACCCTACACCACATAGTGGTAAGGGTATTATGTCTTTGTGCATTTGTTTGTAATATGGAGGAGGAAACGAGATAGACCCATAGTTACTTTTGAGAACCTTCATAGAATCACTTTCTGAGTCGATTTATGCATGTCAGTCCGTCTGTCCGTCCGTCCGTCCGTCTGTCCATGTATTCTTGTGAACAAAATGCAGGTCGCATTTATTATCCGATTGAGATGAAATTTTCCAAGCAATATTTTTTTGGCCCAAGGACGAACCCTATTGAAATTGGTGAGAATCGGATCAAATTTAGATATAGCTCCCATATATATCTTCATCCGATTTCGGGTTAAATGTGCACCAAATATCCACTATCAGTCCAAATTACCTGAATTTTGGCACACCCAACCGAGTTCGCCCTAGAAGCAAGTATATCAAATTTGGAGAAAATCGGTTCAGATATAGCTATAGCTCCCATATATATCTTTCATCCGATTTGATCTTTAAGTCCCTCACATTCCTACTATGCACTTCACAACCGTGATATTTGGTACCAGGTATTAGATGGAGCACAGAAATAGCTGTTTTAAATTTTATCGAAATCGGTTCAGATTTGGATATAGCTCCCATATATATCTTCATCCGATTTCGGGTTAATTGGCCACCAAATGGCCAATATCAGCCCAAATGGCCCGAATTTTGGCACATGTGACCGAGATTAGCCTTAAAGCAAATACAACAAATTTGGAGAAAATCGGTTCAGAAACAGCTATAGCTCCCATATATATCTTCATCCGATTTCGGGTTAAATGTGCACCAAATGTCCACTATCAGTCCAAATTACCTGAATTTTGGCACACCCAACCTAGTTCGGCCTAGAAGCAAGTATATCAAATTTGGAGAAAATGGGTTCAGATATAGCTATAGCTCCCATATATATCTTTCATCCGATTTGGTGTTTAAGCCTCTCACATTCGTAATATGCACTCCACAAGAATGATATTTGGTACCAGATATAAGATACAGCCCAGAAATAGCTATTTGTAATTTTATCGAAATCGGTTCAAATTTGGATAAAGCTCCCATATACATATACATCCGATTTCGGGTTAATTGTGCACCAAATGACCGATATAAGTCCAAATGGACTGAATTTTAGTACATCGGACCAAATTCAGCCTAGAAGCAAGTATATCAAATTTAGTGAAAATCGGTTCAGATATAGATATAGCAACCATCCAAGTTTCATCCGATTTAGAGTTTTAGTCCCATACATTCGTAATATTCACTCTACAACCGTGATATTTGGTACCAGGTATTAGATGGAGCACAGGAATAGCTGTTTTAAATTTTTATCGAAATCGGTTCAGATTTGGATACAGCTCCCATATATATCTTCATCCGATTTCGGGTTAATTGACCACCAAATGGTCAATATCAGCCCAAATCACCAGTTTAGAAGCTAATACGTAAAATTTGGAGAAACCCGGTTCAGAGATAGCTATAGTTCGTAAAATGCACGATAGAATTAGATAGATTTTGAATTTGTACCAAATATCTCATAGAGCTCTGAAATGCCCTGTATAAACCTTTTTACGAGAGCTCTACTAAATATGCAGTGGTGTAGGGTATCATATAGTCGGCCCCGCCCGACTTTTGAGCTTTCCTTACTGGTTTTTTTTTTTTTTTTTTGAAAATTTTCAAGAAGTGCGACCCGGTCGATTCTAGCTGCTTTTTTATTTGTTAGATATAATTTTTCAAAACAAACACTACAAATTTGAGAGTAACTCTTTAAAAACAGCACAGGGCAGAGAGTCGATCAATCTTGGACCACCTCGTAACTCGTCGTCCTTCCCGTTCGGCTTTGATCACGCTGTTATCACGCATGAGTCAAAACGAATTAAGATAAAAAGCTAAACTTTTGCACAGATCAGCCTTTTGTCTGTAGG